AGTCTAATATTCTTTATCTTTGTTCAACAGGGGACAAGTTTTTATTTTAAACAGGATGTGTGCAGGATAAATTTTGTTTCTACATGGCAATAACAAGAAGCTTTAAAGTAAATCAGACACCATAAAGTAATTCCACAATGCCTTGGAAAGAACCCAAGACTTGCTGGTACCTAAATATATTCTCTGTGGGTAAGTGTAGGGGCCACCCTCAATGTGAACAATAACTATATTCCCCTGATAACTCTATAGAATACTCCATGAAATGAGATCTCTCTGATAAAGAAAAAGATGGAAATTTACCTTCTCTGAACTATTGCTCATTAAAATGCAGAAGATGCTGGTATCCTTCTTTAAACAAGGCAAAAATTTGTTTTGATGAATTCTTTTTAAAATCTTACTTCAACATTTTTCAGTGTCGGGTACCTGGAATTAATTTGTATCACAATACAGCTAGGATATAAAAATTAATTATCTAAAAAGGATAGAACAGAGCCATAATAAAAGACCCTCAGTAGCTCAAATGTTTTTACTTTGCTTGTTACTGCTCCACTCTAAGTGAGAAGCACTCCTAAAACAAGTGTTCTGAGAGAGTCTGAAAGCAGCTGGAAACAAATTTGCAATTTATTTAATTATTAAATTTCTGGAGACTGCATCAAGTCTCAGATACTTACTGATATCTCAAAGGGCATTTCTAGATTTGCTCTGAAATGTTCTGTATTTTTCTCCTTATGCTCTTTGAGTTTTTTTGGTTTTTTTTTTACTGAAGGACTCATGACATCATGGGTAGTGTTTCACTTCTATCTCTGTCAGGTGACATATACCATGATGTTTGGGTGTTTCAGTTTCTTTACCTCAAAATTCAAAACTTGTATCATTAATATATTTTAAGAGCCATGGCAATTTTGGTTTGTGGTGACACATAAGGTATACTCATGCTTGAATTAAATCTAAGAAAGACACCTTAGAACTACAATTAATCTCAAGCTATACAAAATACAACATACAGCCTGGACATTAAGACACCTGAGAAATCCTTTGTCTCCACATGACCATGTGCCCATTTAATTAAATGCATTTTTAAATCATTGGGGTAAGACAAAATGCTTAGTTGTAATTTACCTGACAAGAAGTGCAAATTAGGCATTAGGACTATGCTGCCAGAGTTAAATTTTTATGTTCCACTGACTAGGATAGTCTTGTCCATTTTATATTGCAATCTATACCACAAAATTTAAAATCTGTATTTAAATTTGTATTAATGTAGTAATCATTGTATATGCAGCCATAAATGTAGAGGTCGCTAGAAGAGGAAGATATTAACTATTTTAAGTCCATATTCATTTAAGAAAAAATAAGAAATTTAATAAACCAATCACTAGATTTAATAATAGCTGCAAAAGGAACATTATTGCTTTCACAATATTAATTTGGAAAACTAATCAAAGCAATGTGGTGTCTGCAGAACAGCTCTAAGGAACTGAAGCAAAATATTTTTAAATATAATTAAAATACTTAGAGGCCTCCACACCCTGATTTCCAGCTTACCAAACTGGTGAGGATCCTTGATTTATCACAACAGAGCAGTCTCTTTAAGAGTTCCAGAAACTGCTCTGATAACTTGAGTGGATTGGGATAGCCAAGATCCACCAGAGATAACACGATCCACCAAATGATAACACCATTTATCAGCCCATAAACCCCTCATGCAGCAGCTCCAGGAGAACAGCAGTGACTCAGAGCCGGGGATGCTCCAGCCCACACTTCCACAGCAGCCTCCCACCGGGCACTGCTGAGACCAGCCTGTGCCCACTGCACACAAGGGAAGCTGCAGCCACCTTCCACACAACGGAGAAAGTGCTCACTGTGGCCTTAGGATACAGGATTCGAACATTCCCATGTAAGATTTTTTAAAAATACTTGTTTTATGCTTGGACCAATAAGTCAATTAATTTACTTTCCCATCCCTAAATTAGTGCTCAAATGTTTTTGAGAACTATACTCAGAGGGTTTTGAAAGTGATACATGGGTGCCTGCAGCTAAAGTCATCTCACACTTTTCATTTAAAGAACATGAAGTCAGCTTTTTAGAGCTTTAACATGTTTGGAACACAAAATTTTTCATCCTAGTCAGCTGACTCCAGCAGAGTATAAGAGCTAAAGCTGGTCAGATATTCCTGAAAATAGGGGAAGAGAAAATGTGTTTTTTCAATAATATTAAATGAATTTTGGGGCCCTTTTGCAGTAATTTTAATATTTAGCAGTCCCTCTGTATCAGAGATGTGTTTATACTTCCTCTGTGGAAAACTGCCTAAGGTCTCCAGTCAAAACTTTAAGAAGCTAGAAACTCTAAAAACCATGAGGAGAATTAAACCATGAAATGTGAAGCAGGAAGGCAGGAGAAAAAGCTGATAGAGAGGAAGATACCCCGTAGAAGGTTGCAAGGAGGTAGAAAAAAGGGCACAGTTGGGACTGAAACAATTAGGAGACACTGAGGAGCAGAGGTAAGGACAGACAGTGGGGAACTAGTTACATGAAAAAGAGAGGGGTTTAGAAAAAAAATAAAAAAAAAAAAAGGCAAGCTACCAAGGAAAGAGAGAGGATACAGGTAGATTTCAGACAAAGGGGAAAAGTTTGGTATTTTGACTAGACAAACCAGGTGGAAGTGGTTAGTCTGTTACAGAAAAGGAAAATGGCTTATGTGAGTAACAAAAGGAGCAAACTAGGCAGAGTGCAAGAGAAGGAGACTATAGCAAAGGGCAGGTACAGAAAATACAGAGGTGAAGTAACAGATGTCATTCCCAGAATGAGAATCAAGCCAATTATTCCACAGCCCCAGCATCATTTTCCTGTCCTACACTATTATCCCAAAAACACACTGACAATATTGTTCCTTCACCTTGCAGCAGATTAAAATACAGGCTCACATAGCGGATTAGATGCTGTTATTTGGTGAGGGATTCCTCATTTTCTGCTTCATTTCATGCAGATAATGGACAAAGGTCTAGGAGAAATCAGTATTAGATGGTCAACTGCAAGGCAAAGGAAATTAGACTTGGGAATTACATGTTGGGAAGGAAAAAGTGCTATAAGTGCTATAACTAGGGAGCATTTTGGTTTCAAACTTCATGTATGACTTCTGTTCAAGATAGAGATTAGATGCTGTTATTTGGTGAGGGATTCCTCATTTTCTGCTTCATTTCATGCAGATAATGGACAAAGGTCTAGGTAGAAATCAGTATTAGATTGTCAGCTGCAAGGCAAAGGGAATTAGACTTGGGAATTACATGCTGGGAAGGAAAAAGTGCTATAACTAGGGAGCATTTTGGTTAACTGAACTGGAGTTCCATAGAAAATGTGTGTATCATCCACAATTAATACTGACATTATAATGGGATTTACTAGAGGTTAATTAGAGTTGCACTGATAACCTTAATCCTGGAATTTGTTTAGCCTTACTTTGGAACTTGTTAAATTAAGTTTCCCTTCCTTAATTTTCTTTTACTGGAGGATTTTTTAAATTTTATTTTATAACAGAATTCAGCTAGTACTGAGGCTATACTACTGTACCATAGTATAGTAAAAAAGTATCTTAGGATGTATGTAGTGAATCAATATACAAAAAAATCAATAACATGAAACTAATATTATTTCAATACACCTAAATATCTATTCAAAGTATCTAATTTGTTATTATTCTGAGGGGTTTTTTAGGTCATTTCTGCAACAATATGAGAGAATCCTTGCTACAGTTTTAGCAGCCCATAACTGTAGGAGTATGATTTATGATGGCAACCCACAGGGCTGGTCATCTAGGAAACAACTCAAACAACCCAATTGTTCAACTAGAGCTTTCACTGTTGTTAGCCCTCTCCTAGCCTATAATATATCAAACATTTCTATCTAGACAAAAATCTATTATGTGGTAGTGAATATGCTTTTAAAACACTGACATATATACAGTCTTATTTCCCACCCTGCATCCAACCCCCTTCATATCAGACACTAGCTTTCACACTTCTTTCATTATCAAGTTGAGAGGGGGAAAACGATGTTATGACACTGAAGGAAGTGCGATTTCAAGTGATTTTTTTCAGTATTTCATTGGCGTGCTGTTAAAAAAACGTGACTGGTGGCAATGGACATAATCAGGATTTCTTGAGACCTAAATAAAATTACATTTTCTGAATTAAAAAATAAAACATTATCTGATCCCATATTTTGACTAGATTTGTTTGAAAATACAGCTAGCTCTGTGTCCATAATGGGTTTTTAAATGCTCACTGTCATATAATTTTTATAAAAATTTGTGCAATTTATAAGCATAAATTGTGCAAATGGAATTTTTGCAGGATTTCTCCACCCACAACTTGTTGTCTAATAAACATGTAGGATAGTAAACTAAGTAGGATAAAGTACACTTACCCAAAAATATTTGTTATTGCAAATCAGTTTTGAACAATGGCAAACTAAAATATCTGAAAATCTCCACCACAATTATTGTAGGCTGACTCCAGCCAGCATCTTCTAAACATCAAAAGAATGACAACAAAGTTGTACCCTTGCGGTGGCAGAAATGTCCAAACAGAGGTGAACATGCTAAAAAACCCATTTTAATGTTCACTTGATTGATACTTGACAGGAGACGAGACTCAGCACTTGAACTGCACTGGTTTTTTCTCCTCGCTGATGTAAACTGCGCATGAACCCCACGGCACTCAAATCAGAAGGAAAAAACCTACAAAACGCACCCAAGTCCAATCACATGTTCTGTACTCCAAGAGACAGAGCAGCAGCAGAGATCTGACCATTTAAGCTGTGTGATAAGAATACAGCCACACCTGGGAAAAAACTTCTTAGGTCCCGGAGGCTGTTTAAGAGTCATTGTCATGGTGAAAGAATCACGTCGTCTCTGCCTTCAGAAAGCATTGCCTTAGGGCATTACAAATTTAACTTAAAACTGCTCCCACTCAAGGGCCAGATGACCAAGAAAAATGACAGGAACAACTGTACACTCATTTATTTTCCGCAAATGCTAAAACACAGATATAGTTAAAAACACGACTAGAAACATGTTCCGGGCAAACACGCTAGACTGCTGATTCTGCAAAAATATCGATAATCACGCGCAACGAGAAAAGGAGGAAAAAAGATGTAAACATTCCATTAAGACCAGCCGAAAAGAAGTTCGGACGAGTCCTGTAGCCTGCAGGATTATCGGGAGAGCAGCTTATGTCTGCCCAGACAAAGTCCGTGGACCAGTCCCAAAGGGATTCAAATAAATTAGATAAATAGGACGGGCTCTCGGACGCCGCCGCCGCCGCCGCCGGGTACTCGGCGGCCGCACTCGGGTGCGGGCCGTAGCCGTAGGGCACCAGCGCGCACTCCTCCTGCAGCCCCGCCGCGAAGAAGGACGCCTCGCTCTCCGCCGCGTCCAGCGGCGACGGGTCCGGTGTCGGCAGGCCGTAGCCGTCGAACGCGGCGCCCAGCGGCGGACAGTAGATGTAGTGGCCCGCGCCCGCCGCCGCCGCCGCGTAGCCCTGCTCGCCGTACGCCAGTCCCAGGCCCTCCACGCACATCCTGCCGCCGCCGCCGCCGGACACCTCGCTGCCCAGCCCGGGCCCCGCCGCCTCCGCCAGGCCGTGCTGCAGGAAGCCGCTCTCCACCCGCTTCAGGCGCTTCACCTGCTTCCGCCGCCGCGGCCGGTACTTGTAGTTCGGGTGGTCCTGCATGTGCTGCACCCGCAGCCGCTCCGCCTCCTCCACGAACGGACGCTTCTCCGCCAGCGACAGCGCCTTCCACGATTTACCTGCGCCCACCGACACCGTCAGACCGCCCGCTCACCGAGCGGCACCCACGCCCGCTCCCGACCACACCGACACCGCCCCGCCCGCAGCCCCGGCCCCGCCCGGCCGTGCGCGATCCCCGCTCGCCCTCCGACGCCACCGCCCCACCGAGACCCCGGCCCCACAGCCCGCGGATGCCCCCGCTCGCCGCCCGCATCCCCGACCCCGAGCTTCGCCCGGGTCCCTCGCCCTCCCGGATCCGCCCCGCGGGAACCCGCGCTCACCCAGCATCTTGCTGAGCTCGGCGTTGTGCAGGTCCGGGTTCTGCTGCGCCAGCCGCTTGCGCTCGTCCTTGGCCCACACCATGAAGGCGTTCATGGGACGCCGGATCCGCGCCTCGCCCTTGCTCCGGCCGCCCGACGGTCCCGACGCCGCCGCGCCGCCCTTCGCCTTCGCCTCGCCCAGCGGGCTCAGCGACTCTGCCCACGGGCACATGGCCGGCATCATCATGGGCAGCGAGCACCGCCCCTGCACCTGGTCGTCGCTGCTGGCGTAGCCCGCATCGGGGCTGCTCATCTCGCGCCGCCACCGGATCGGATCGGACCGCCCGGGACGCGCTGCCGACCGCCGCCAACAGCTGCTGCCGGCCCAGGGACACCCTCGGCACTCGGAGCCCGCTCGCTGCTGCTGCTGCCACAGCCCGCGCCCGGCCCGGCCCTATTTGAGCCGCGGCGCGGCCAATGGGGCGGCGGGGGCGGGGCGCAGAGCGGCCCACGAGGCCGTGCGCTGATGGGCATCCTTGAGCGCAGCAGATACCAAGGGGGAGAAAGGGACAGAGTATTTGCGGTTGTGCCGAGACACCCCGTAACACTCTGAGAGGCACGAGCGGTTTCTCCTGCACGTAGATGTGGGATGTAGCTTGGAAACCGTGTGTCACACTTCATTACACTTCATCTGTGTCTCACACTTCAGCTTCGTATCCTCTAGCGCTACCTGAGTAGGTCTGAGCCGTCCCGGCTGCTCCTGCTCTGCCCCCTTCCCCCGTAACCAACTGCTCCGAGGGAGCGGCGCGGGAATGCTTCGGTGCTTCCTCAGCTATGGCGAGGAAGTTCCGCGAACAGAGACATTTTTTTCCCGTCTGGCTGTCACTGTCACTGCCTCACAGGATCCCCCCGCCCCGTGCCATCAGCTCTCTCTGCTTTGCCTCCTTGGCAAGTTGGTTTCATTAAATCACGACATATTCAAATTAAGCCATTCTCATTTTATCGGAATATATAGAGAAGTTGTAAAGACAATACTGTTTGTTATTCCTAAGAACAGGTGATGGGTTCGAGGCGGTTTAAATTATTTTTACAACTATCCTACTGCCATCGTATTGAGGGCAGTCTTGATAAATGAGACGTTCTCATGGTTTTCTGATATTCGATCATATTTTCGATAGTACCAACAACCCTATTTTTCAACGGGTACCTCGGAAGATGTGTTATCAGTGCCATATTTCATACAGTATGAATGCAGAGAAAGTTTGCTCATAAACGAGCAGTCGAGTGACTTGCAAACCTTGCCACGACCTGGGATGTGTTTCTTGGCGCTTTTTCTTGTGCTCCAGCACAACTGGACAAGCTGAAGGGCACATCTGTGCCTTGATACATGAGATCGCGCCTTATCTGAATAGAAAAGGCGTGAAGTTACAGGCGATTAAAAAAACACTGAATAAATCCTGCCCTCATTAATCAAGTTTGCCGGTCATTGACGCCCTTTTCCCCCTCTCCAATAAGGTTCGCTTTTCCAGGACAGCCCATCTCCACCAGGTACGTGGAGCGGCCGGGCCGGGCTCCCTCCAGGCACCGCAGTAAATCCCGGGTGGGGAGCGGGAGCAGGAGCACCCTCGACAAATTCCTGCCGTCCGGAACCCCAGTCTTCTCTCCAGCGATGGACATAGGAATTATTTAAATCATCGTTCTTTCCTGGTACCTCTGTGTTCCTGTTTAGCTTGAAGTTGAGAGTATAAAATTCTGTGTTAGTTCTTTGCAAAGAGACGCACTAGCACGAGTTACTTAGAGTCCTTTATCTTCCACATAAGTCTGGAACCCGGAAAAGCGAATTTAAATGCCTGCAGGCTGGGAAAGGTTCGGGAGGCAGAATACCTACTTGGGAAACAATCCATTGGTAATGGTAATGATGTCAGACCAAGTTTGAAATAATTTGGACAGAAGATAGCTGAATATATTTATATATAAACCCTTTAAAACTGCAGGAAGTGATCATAGACTAGTTTGGGTAGGAAGGAACTTTAAAAATCATCTAATTCCAGCCCCCTCCCATGGGCGGGAGCACCTTCCACTAGACCAGGTTGCTCAAAGCCCCATCCAACCTGGCCTTGAACACTTCCGAGAATGGGGCATCCACAACCTCTCTGGACAGCCTGTTCCAGTGTTTTACCACCCTCGTTGTCACCCTGCTTCCTTCCAGCACCTATCTATCTATCTACAAGGATCCTCTTTTAGTTTGAAACTATTTTCCTGGGTCCTATCCCAACACAGAATGACTTCCCTGCTCTGTTTTTTAACACGCACACATGCACACAATATGAAAGAGAACCACTTGTATTCCTTGGACACGTAATTTAAATTTCTCTGGGGTAAAAACTAGGCAGCTAGTTAACTTGGAGTAGTTCTTTTTGAGAAAGTATTGACAGCCTCAAGGACAGGGAGGGCTGGACCTCTCTTGCAAGTCTGCATTGCTTTTAGCGAGCTGTCTTTGAGCCTGGAGCCGCTCTGCTGCCCCCGTCCCCTTGTTTCACCCCAGTGCATCCCACTGCACAGTCCCTTCTCGCTCTCTGGCAGCACCACAGAGGTGCCACCGCGGGCTCTCCCACCCCAGAGGCTGCCGGGCAGGGGCTCGGGTTTTTTTACCCGGTGAGCCTGGTAACTGGTGCCCGATGTCCCTGTTCGGGGCACGCTGGGGTGAGTGCCGAATATGGGGCAGGAGACACTCGACCTCCCCAGCTTGCCGTAGGCTTTCTTCAGCAGACACGAAATGGGGCAATTCACGCTGGCCGGGTCAAGCGGGTCACAGCCGACCGGCCGGAGAGCAGAATCACGCGGGGACAAGGATTGCACCCGCAATTCGTTCAGTCACACCACTAACAGCTTGGTGGCATGAGTTCGTCGGGCTTGTCCCCTAAAACAGCTCTACCGATCCGTCACCATCAGCAGCTCCCCTGAGCACGAGTGACTTCCGAGCAGCAAAAACAGATTCAGCAGCACACATTAGGAACCGGAAAAAAAAATTAAAAAAAAAAAAAAAAAAGGCTTTTAAACGAGTTCCAGAATAAAATATAACTATATATATAACCATATATAACTATATATATATATATATACATACATATACAAGCATGTAATGCCCCTCCGATCTTCAGCCTTGGGGTGTCACAAGCACCTATGGGACCCTATAATCCAGAACAGGATTGTGGGTTAGTGTTAACAGCAGCGACGTCCGGGTGGCTTTGCAACCCTCGAAGTAGGGAAGGGAAACAAATAACCTACTTCTTTCTCCACAAATGCGTTCATAACCTGTCATTTTACTGTGCAGAAAGTGGAATTATTTTCTTTCTTTTCTTTAGAAGGTGTGGACTTTGAGAGTTTTTTCCTAGAGCAACCTAGGATAAGTTTTGCAGCATCCAAAGCAGGGAGGAGTCAGATGTCATCAGGAACAAAGGGATTTATTTAGCATTTGGTCTGAGACAAGATTCATATCGTAGGTGAAGTCTCTTCATGTGACAGACCTTCTGAGTAAATAATTCAGGGTAAAATCATACGCTTAAAATACTGGAATATAGCAGTCTGCGAGAAGCCTTGGATGATCAGCACGCTCTTAGACGCTCAGGCAGCTGCCGTATTTAAGAGCCTCTGTCCAAACACAGAGGTGGTGAAAGAAATTCCTATTTTTGTAGACGGAAATCTGAAGAGGGCGACTGAACTCTGATCTCACGAGCATTTAATTAGTCAACACATTACCTGACTGTTTAACGCTAAGCAAACGTGGGTGTGTAATTGCCGGCTTTCACAGCTCTGCCAGTCGCGCTCGTCCCTTGGCGCAGGGATAAGTGCAGTCAGCACGCTGATGTCGCTTGTCGCAAGGCTGCGAATGGCCTGTCCCTGCCGCCCACGCCAGCTGTGCCCAGGGTATGGGCTCCTGGTCCCGTGCTGGCACGCTAACACTTGTCAGGAGCTTCTGCCGTCCTCAGGAGCGGCTGGGAGAGGATTTACTACAACACAAGAATAGGGCTGCCACATAAGTAAACTAAATTTGTGTAAAAGGAGAAAATCGTCAGCAGTATTGCTGCTAATGTCTTCTAGCGATTACCGTCTTCGTAGCTGGAAAAGCACGCGGCTACAGAAATGGGCGGAAAGAGAAATCTGCTACGGAGGTTGGTTTTTTGTAGTTTGCTGTTGTTGTTTTGGAGGGGGAGGGTTTATTGGGCTTTTAGTTTTTTTGGAGGTTTTTTTTTAGAGCACAAAACCACCTGGGGTTGGTTTGTTTTTTTTTTTTTTTTAGAGCACAAAACCACTGCTTCTTGACATTTCCAGCTTTAACAAGTGTGTTGTTATTTTGACCTCCTGGCTTTCCTGCCACCTGCCCTGTATGGACAAACCTTGAACTGACTTTAATTTAGTACCATGGCCTGAAGTCCCATTTTTTGCACATTAGGCCCACTTACATTTTTATCCATATACTTTAGCGAGACAGAAAGCACACACACACACACCCACACACACCCACACCCACCCTGTCAAAATTAAAAAATAATTTAAAAAACCCCACAAAAACCACCCAACCTCTCAGGTTTTCTGCTTTCGGGATGACCCAAGAGTCCTTTTTTCCCAGCCCAGCAGCCAAAGAAAGAGTCGGGATTCTTCAGCTCGTGTTCACAAGGTTGTTTATTGTCTATTATCCAAAAATATTTTCTCTCAGACCTGCAGAGGTCTGATCTGCAGGTCTGTCAAGGGCACACTGCCCGCCCCTGGGCTGGTGTTTATATTTTATACTATGAGTTACATATACTTTATTAATCATTACTTTCCAATACCTATCACCTATGTTAGACTGTCTACTTCTACTTTAGGCCAATCTAAATGTGCCACCATCACCAAGAAGATGGAGGCTAGGAAGAAGAAGGAAGAAACATGGGACAATGCCCATGTCCCTCCATCTTGCCTCCTAGACCCCCTATAATAAAATCCCCAAACCTCCATTTTTCACCTGGTGATTAATTCATTATTATTCAACTTCTGTGACTTGTGATTCTTCATGTAAGGTTGAAAATTTGCTCCATGCATTAAGATCGAAATCCCAAGTGTCTTTTTCTTCCTGCCAGGGTCTCTGAGCCCCTGTCAGGATCTTGAGCCATCCAGGGCACCCAGAGGGATGTCCTGGGTTCCGACACCAACCAAAAGTAACGAACACCACCAAAAAAACCTCACACGAACAAACCAACCCACTCAGAAGTAAAACAACAAACCAAACTCTTCCAGCTGCTATGTGACACCAACCTAAAGGATTTGACTGTGTCAAGAAAAATCGAAACGTTACTCGGGACTTATTGGGAATTAATGAGTAATTAATTAATTACTAGGGACAGAAAAACCCCGAAACCAAACAAAAGACAAAGGGCTG